AGGAGTTAATGATTCGTGCTAAATTTCCTCCACTTATAAAATCTCGGAAACCACCTATACGTTCAAAGGGCTGCGTCTTGCTCACTGCTTGGTGGCCCACACAGGTGAGCTACAGAGTGGAGAATCGCTGGAGGGTCGACGACAGGACGGCAATGCTGTTTTGAAGGGTTTTTATTAACATGGAAAAGTATCCAGAACACAAGGCTAAGTTAAAAAAGATAACCCTGGAGGGGCCCACCCCATGGCGTAGTGGTTAAGTCCAGCACCCTCCGCTTAAGGGGCTCAGATCCCAGGTGTGGACCCACACCACTCATCAGCCATGCTGTGGCAGCACGCTGCATACAAAATAGAGGAAGACTGGCACAGATATTAGCTCAGGGCTAAACTTCCTAAAGCAAAAAAAAAAAAAAAAAAAAAGAGGAAGATTGGCAATGGGTGTCAGCTCAGGGCAAATCTTCCTCAGCAAAAAAATCCCACAAAAAACCTAGAGTCTACACCAGACATGAACCAAGTAGTTCATAGATGCATTTGATGCAATATATAGCTGGGTTTTTTTTTTGAAGGAAGATTAACCCTGAGCTAACATCTGCTGCCAATCCTCCTCTTTTTGCTGAGGAAGACTGGCCCTGAGCTAACATCCATGCCCACCTTCCTCTACCCTATACGTGGGATGCCTGCCACAGCATGGCTTTTTGCCAAGTGGTGCCATGTCCACACCCAGGATCCGAACTGGCGAACCCAGGCCACTGAGAAGCAGAACGTGCGAACTTAACCGCTGCGCCACTGGGCAGGTCCCTAGATTTTTTTTTTTTAATTTGAGCCAATAAGTAAACGTTGGGGTAGTTGGCATTTTAAAAAAATATTTGAGACCTCTCCTGAACTACCAGAAATCTGGCAATACTGAGCCCACATTCCCATGTGGTTCGAACCAGCAGGAGGAAAAGGCCCCCAGTGCCCTTCAGAAAAGGCACACTTGTCTCGCTCAGTGCATCACGTAAAGGGTGAGTAAGCACTGCTTTGGGAAGTGTTATGCACACGGGCACACGCCCATGTGCAATCGGTCATGAGGAGGAGCGCACTTCTGCTCTAGGTCACTCCCGTCCCTCCCACTTCCCAACCTCGCTCATTCCCGTATCTGCCTGACCTCGGAAGTGGCTGGGTTTCAGCTGGAGGGTATGACGTATAAACCAGCACGGAAGTCCTGGAAACGGCATCTAAGAGCTGACTGTGGGAGGTGGTTTTTGTAATTAACAATTATTTTACGACACATCCGTGTTGGTTTCACAGCAAAAAGGGAGTATACAAAAGCGTTTTCCCCTCTCCTTAAACAGTAACCCACACGGAGCCATAAGACCAGAGGATCATTAGCTCGGGGGGGAGGGGGGGTGAAATGCAGGCCTCAGGGGTCTCACCCCAACATACATTAATAACTTAAATCAGGATCCCGAAAGCCAAAATGGGCAAAGGCATCAATTCCGGCCAGGAGGTCTGGACACAGGAGCAAAGAGTAACATCACTGAGCACATAACCACTCTGACCATGAAGATGACAGGGTTCCAGGGCACCACAAGCGAAAGGCTTCTGGCTGAGAACAGTGCTTCTCAGAAAGCTAACTCCAGTTCCAAGGACCATAGACCCATGATTCCGAGCTCTCGATCCCCAAAGGAAAGTTTCTAAACTCTCATAAAAGTTTTATTCAACAACTTACCTATTTCAACTTGTAGTTTCATGTTGCTGGCTACAAAATTTTCATTGCTCACACTAACAAGGTTTTCCCATCCTATGATGATCTTTTCTCATACAATCTCATCCCAATTATACTCTCCCTGATTGTGGGGAGAGAATATTATTATTATACTAAATTTCAATAAATATTCCACTAAATGCTATGATCACTGCTAACAGCAGAGGGCAGTAGGGTGCAGTGAAAGAAAACAGGTCCAGATTCAGGTTCTGGCTGCTCTGGGGACACGGGCCCCTCCCCACATCTTCACAGGGTCCTCAACTTGCCTTCTGTAAAATGGGGAGGCTGACTTGGCGTTTCTTCTAACTCCTAGCCTATAATACAGGTTAGCAAACCAACCTATGAGCCAAGTCTGGCATAACCCTTGTTCTGGCATGCCTGCAAGCTAAGAAGGGTATTTCCCATTTTTAAATAGTTGAAAATAAAATGAACAGTTCAGGAAATAAACAAATTATGTGAAATTCAAATTTCAGAGTCAGCCACATGCTGCCCATGGCAATATGCTTTAGTAACAATGACAACAGTGTGGAACACCTGCACAGTTGTGACAGAGACCCACAAAACTAGAATATTTACTATCTGGCTCCTTACAGAAAAAGGGCCATGTGTAAGATTAAAATAATTTTGAATATCACCCTCTCTTCCTATACTACCCATCGGACATCTAACTCACGATTAGCAAAATGACCCCAGCACATACAGGCAAAAGGATTATATTTTGGGAAGACATTAAAGTCTACTGAAATGGGGGATCTAACTTGTAACCTAAAAAGCCACTCAAATGGTAAGGGATTTTGTCAGGAATTCTGACATTACTTCAACCTCTGTACCTCCCGAGGGAAGAGAGAAGCTTAATTAAACACATTTCACGTGTTCTCATATTCCTATGAAACTACTTCCTGAAATATGGTGCAAGAAAACCAACAGGGGTTCACAGACCCACACGTTTTATAAGTTATGTATTAATTCCACGTATATTGGAAAAAACACAACAAACTATTTCAACACATGAGCTGACATTTTATTTAGCTTAGGATAAAGCTAAGTTGCAGATTTAACATCTAAGAATGTGATAAGGTAGGTGGTACTAGAATTGGCAAAAATCACAGCGATGAAAGCTGAGGCCACAGCGATTCCTGCCATCGCTGCCACTTTCTCGCAAGTGCATCCTCCACGGAACTGACTGGCCAAGGAATCTGTGTGACTACACCCCAGGCTTTGTTAACTCGGCTTAAATGGAACCATGTCATGGAATCAAAGTAAGCTTTGAAGTCAGAAACCAAGGGACAAAAGGGGGTTTTTTTTTCCCGAAACGATGTCAACACAAGTTACAAGTTACGGTCATCCCAGAAGAAAGCTCTAAAACGCGACTGTGAGGAGCCAGGACCCACGCGGCTGTGATCACCCTGGAGAAGGAGACGGCGGCCTTTCCTCTGAAGAACCAAGAGCCACGGGCACTTCACTCTCCTTACCCACCGACAGCCATTTGGGAGCAGCTACAACTAGTTCCTGAAACTAACCAACCAACCGGAAACAAGAACCGGCACAATCAAAACGCGCGGGATTCTTTGAGTTCACAACTAACCAAGTTCCCATCGTTTTGTCTTCCGGGGGCACTGACGGTCTCTTAAAGCACTGCCGCCTGCTCCTCAAAGAGTTCTTATGTGAAGAAGGGAAGGAGCGAGGAACGGAGGGAGGATGGGAAGGACAGAGGGAGTCTGAAAGGCTCTCCAAGGTCAACGCTTTGGCCAGAAGTCTAAAACTGGTGGTTCAGGGGCCAGCCCAGTGGCGTAGTGGTTGAATTTGCGCCCTCCACTTCGGCAGCTCCAGGTTCACGGGTTCAGATCCCAGGCGTGCACCTACCTGTGGCTCATCAAACCACACTGTGGTGGCATCCCACTTAGAAAATAGAGGCAGACTACCGCAGACGTTAGCTCAGGGCCAATCTTTCTCAAGCAAAAAGAGGAAGATTGGCAACAGATGTTAGCTCAGGGCCAATCTTCCTCACCAAAAAAACAAAAACAACAACTGGTGGTTCAACCTACAGAGATGCTTTATTCATTCAAGAAAATATTCTGACATTTTGAGCAGACATTGAATAACTGGAGATTTTATATAAAAATGCAGATTTCCCATCTCTCGGAAAAATGTTAAGATCTGAAAACCATGAGTCCACAGCGCTGCACAGTGAACACGGGCTGAAGCCCCCGAAATGGAGCAGCAGCCCCACGGCCCACCAGTCGCTGGCCCCTCGACAGTCTCCCCAGCCCAGAGCTGAGAGTCGGACGCCTTTATCATCACGTTTCGTGTGTGCGCAAGCTCCTCTGTGACTCTCAAAGGCAGAACAACAAAGAACCAACAGTGAAGGCCGTGTTTCAGGAAATGAGCGTAAACCCATTTCCTTGTAGAAGGAGTAAAGTTCTTAAGTGTCTAACATGCAACCAAATTCTGTTGGGGCAGAAAGAATTCAATTTAAGTCAGCACTGCTTTCTTACACTCGCCTGCATCCCTCATTTGCATCAGCTCTCTGATCCGTGCAGGCATCTGACCAGCAACCATCATAAGACAGAACGTAGTAGCTGACATTTTTGCAGCTTTATTTCAGGCACCGCTCTAAACCCATGGTGTGTTGATCCCTACAAGAACCTATGAGGCAGGTCCTATGATTATGTCATGTCAGAGAAACTGAGGCACCAAGCGGTTAAGGAGCTTGCCTAAGCCACACGGCCGGAACGGCTGGGCTGGGACTGGAGACCGACATCCTCGCTCTTCACCTCTCTCCCACGGCAAGTCTCAAAATGCAACACGCTTGTCAAACAGGGTGACCTTTAAGAAGGGAGACTGCTCTAGGGAGAGACTGTTTCCCTCACGTGTTGCTCTCCTATTTAAGCATTAAGTAACATGAATGTACAGTTTTGACAGAAAAATAATGTTTCAACTAAAATAAAATTCCTGAGAAAGAAAAAACTGTTACAGGAAATTGTTGGGTTCTAAACGGTTTGGAAATAAACTCTGCCCACTGCTAAGCATGACCTCCCGTTGGCCTTGGGGGACCACTTTTCTCAGTTTTTGGTCCCTAACACCAAGAATCCCATTGGGTTACTCGCTGAAAATTTGAATGTGCCCCACCGGAACAAAAGCCCCTGCATCTCCCTTTGCTTCTGTGATGCTCGCCAGCCAGGACCCAACAGATGTGGCACCAATGGGAACCCCGCGTCCCAGGGGCCTCCTCCACCCTCGCCCGCCCGGGGCTGACCTGTGCTCTTGTCCAGGAAGTCCATGGACTCCTCACTCGCACTGAAGTGGCTGGAAGTGGCCTTCTTCTCCGCATCCTGCTCCACGTCGGAGCCCGTGTGCACAGAAGAGTTTGTGCTCATGGGGGAGCGAGGCATGTCCGACAAGGAGATCCTGCGGCCCGTGCCCCCGCTCAGCATGGGCTTGCTCATGAGGATCTTGGGGGACGCCGTCATGTCAAAGTTGAGCTTGACCTTTTCCTGTTTGTCAATCTTGGCGGCGCCAGCGCTGGGGTTGGTGGGGTCGAGCAGCATCTGGTACTGGCTGTTGGGCGTGTAGGGTGTCCTGAATGGAGAGTAATTAAAAACCCCAAACTTCCTTCGAATGTTCTCCACATAAACCTCCATCTCCTGCATTGCACTGTTGAAGATGCTTTTAGTCTTTTTCACAGAAAAAGGAATTTCTTTAGACATGAGGTAGCAATTATTTATTGGAACCCAGGCCCTAAGAATACAAAAAGAGAGAGTTTAAGTCAACTTTGGTCCTTTCCAAGATTCCTTTTTTTTTTTTTTTAAATTTTGGGGCCAGCCTGCTGGCATAGTGGTTAAGTTCATTCACATGCTCCGCTTCGGTGGCCTGGGGTTCACAGGTTCGGATCCTAGGCGCAAACCCATGCACTGCTTGTCAAGCCACATCTTGGTGGCATCCCACATAAAACAGAAGAGGATTGGCACACATGTGAGCTCAGCAACAATCTTCCTCAAGCAAAAAGAGAAAGACTGGCAAGAGGTGTTCCCTCAGGGCCAATCTTCCTCACCAAAAAAAAAAAAAATTTATTGTGGTAAGAACAACTTAACATGAGCTCTACCCTCATAACACATGTTTAAATGTGCAATGCGTTATTGTTGACTCTACAGGTACAAGGCTGTCGAGCAGATCTAGAACGTACTCATTTTGTTTAACTGAAACTTTATGCCCGTTGATTAGTTAATTCCTCATTTCCTCCTCCTATGAATATGACTATTTTAGACGCCATCTCGTATGAGCAGAATCACACAGTATTTGTCTTTCTGTGACTGGCTTATTTCACTCAGTATAACATCCTCAAGATTCATCCATGTTGCCACACACTTTTTAAGACTGAACACTATTCCACTATATGTACACAGCACACATTCCTTACCTATTCCCCTGTCTACAAATATGTAGGTTGTTTCCAAAATTGTTTTTTCCTTAATGCAAACCAAACTAGCCTAGTTATGTTTACCAAGATTCTTAAATACATATTCCATTTTTTAAAAATGACTTGGTCTGGGGGCTGGCCCCGAGGCCGAGTGGTTAAGTTAGCGCGCTCCGCTGCAGGCGGCCCAGTGTTTCGTTGGTTCGAATCCTGGGCGCGGACATGGCACTGCTCATCAAACCACGCTGAGGCAGCGTCCCACATGCCACAACTAGAAGGACCCACAGCAAAGAATATACAACTATGTACTGGGGGGCTTTGGGGAGAAAAAGGAAAAATAAAATCTTTAAAAAAAAAAAATTTGATTTGTTAAAAAAAAAAAATGACGGTCTGAATGGTCAATAAATGATTAACCATTAACACGTAATGGGCACGTTCTGTCACAGGGACAGAACATGGACAACAAGCTTAGCTAAAACATTAAAAGTTTCAATAGACTTTAATGAATTCAACTAAATTAAATTCAATAGAATTTAACAAATTAAAATACTCATTTAATTCATTAAAAAAAAACAAATCTCCTTTGGCTTTGGGTTGGTAGAGACTAAGAAAAAACAGTGCACCCTAGACCACCCCTCCAAAAAGAGAATTAGTCCCCCAAATCTCATTCTTCTGCGCTAGACATGAAGAGCTTTTCTCTTTTCATTCTTCTTTTTTTTTTTTTGAGGAAGACCAGCCCTGAGCTAACATCTGCCACCAATCTTCCTCTTTTATTTTGCTGAGGAAGACTGGCCCTGAGCTAACATCTGTGACCATCTTCCTCTACTTTATATGTGAGAGGCCTACCACAGCATGGCTTGCCACTCGGTGCCATGTCCGCAGCCGGGATCTGAACCGCAAACCCCGGGCCGCTGAAGCGGAATGTGTGAATTTAACTACTGCGCCACTAGGCCGGCCCCAACTTTTCTCTTTTCAAATTGGGATTCTACATGGGACTAGAAGGAAACGTTGGAAACCCATAACTCTAAAAGGAGGCGCGTGGTTTGAAGGCGAGATCATTCACATGGAAAATATCCAGACAGGCCTTTGGCAGTGGGGTATGCCCTGCACCTCCCAATGCAGGCTGGTTCCGTCTTCCTGCCTTCCATACCCCACGTCCCAGCGTGCTTGCCAGAAACCCATGAGAGCAAAGACACCAGTGGCTGCTTTTCTGGAATTAGCGACCTGAGCAACTGCAGGCAGGAGATGAGAACACAACCAACCACCACGGGTGAGGGCGGAGCAGACACAGGACATCCAGGACGCAGCCTCATCACATGCGATCCCGCGGCTGCAACCCAGTTTGCAGCTGGGAATCTGGTGGGAAGGAGCTTTCCCAAGGACACCTTCTGGACTTCACAGACTGTCAACTCAAGCCCAGTATAAAGGATCAGGGAGCAAAGCGGACTGTGGGGAAGCAGAGAACTCACGGCCACTCTGCTCCAAGCACTGTCGACGCGGGCGCTATCAAAAGTGCCCAGGGAGGAATCTGGACCCAACGCCACCAAGTCTTCCAACGTTATAAAGAACAGCAGAAAACACGGACTTCCTATATTATGTTTACATTTTAACAATTGGCATTTCATTCCTATTTTTAAGAGAAAATGACCCAGGAGAAATAAGGTGGGGCCACGGGGCAGAATTCAGGGCACGGGCTGGCTGGCTGCAACTCTTGGTGACACTAGACTATGACACAAAGTAAAACCAAACACCCTCAAAAACCTGGCTGCTCTCTCCGAGTGCTGGAAATTCCGCCTCTCCTCCACTCCGACTTGCTGCTGTCATTCTGCAGAGACCTGAGCCCTCACATCTGCAGCCAGAGGGAACAGGGCTGAACAGGAGCCAAGCGCCCTCAGGGGAGACTCCGCGGGTCACGACTGGGTAGGCAGGAGCCCAGACTAGACAGGGCGGCTCTGAGGAGCTGTCAGGGTCCCCTGGCTCCCCCAAGAAGTGACTCCCCCCTTCCTGAGCCAGCCTCAGCCCTGTCATCGGTGAAATGGAGGATGGGCCCCAACCTGGAGGGTCGCCAAGGGGGGCAAATGAAATGCACCGAAGCGAGTCTTGGCACCAGCAGGAGCTGGTCGGCCAGGCACTGCTGCGAGCACCTTTCCCCTACACACTTGTCTGGCATCCTCCACTGCTTCCTCCCAGGTTCTCAAGCGTCTTCAACCAAGTTGCCTGGTGAGAGATTTCAGGAAAAGTGTTCCTCTTCCTTAAAGCGGGCCCAGAAAATACTTACAGGGAAATCAGATTGGCTTTATAATATAAATCCTCTGGGGGACAGTGTCAGGAGGCCACAGAATCACGCAGCTGAGCTCCTTCCTAGTACTGGGCTTCAGTTTTCTTAGCAGTAAAATGGGTATAAAAGCAGCTTCTACCAAAAGCCCTTAAAACAGGACCCGCTGGATGGCAGGCACTCAATTAAAGCTACTTCTTTTTTAGCTCTGCAGGCATTTAGCAAAACATTTTCCACATTTTTTATTTATGTGCGTGAGCAAAATAAAGCTTCAAAAAAGCAAAATCTTTCAAAGCACAAAAGCACGTGACGAGACTCTTTAGAACATGCCTTGACTTGTGCAAGGGCCTCCCCAGGCTCTCTCCAGTATTTATGAACTTGACAACGAACATGGGATGGTCTGTGGTATTTCTCACTCTGCCGTCCTGACCTATTTCGCTTACACACATCCAGGCTCGACTTCTGGCTCTACGACCCAGAAGCGAGTCCCGGAGAAAGGGACAGCGTATTGCACCTCCCACAGCCTCCCTGTAAATCTCTGCGTCACATTCCCGGGTCTGATTCAGAGCAGGTTGTCAACAAACCTGGCCCATTCCGCTTTAAGAACATCTCCAGGGAGGGAGGGACGCTTCTCCTATTGGGAGTGGCTTCCGAAACAGCTGTCAGTGACCGCCTGCCCCATTCCTACAACTCCAAGGTAGGTTTCCTCGGCCACTGGGGCACATTCTTAACAATTTCCCCCGACGAGCAGCCCTCCCCCAAGATGAGCCCAACAGCTTGGCACATTGCCTGCAAGGGGACAGAAGACACCAACGGGGGTTAGGAAAATCTCCTGGGCAGGAGACTTATGCTGCTGTCTTTTTCAAAACACAAGGGGGTCCAGCTTCCACGACGGCTCGCAACCAGAACCAAACTACACCTGCACGTTCAGGGGAAACAGCCTCTGGAACCAAGGCCAGCAAAGCGCGTACCCCCTCAGCCACCCCCAGTGGCTGTCAGTCAGGTGGGAGGACGAGGTCGGTGCAGAGTGGGCACAGCTGAGAGAGCAAAATCAAAGACTGAGGGTCGGGGAACAGCTGGTGACGAGGCAAGCACTGCCTGCCCCCAGCCACCCGCATCCTACGTATATCTGCAGTGTGACACTATAGAATAAAAACAATCCCGAATCATCGAGATGGTTAACACGGCCGTGCTCTAACGAAGAGGCAGGAAAATGTACAACCTGCCACCAATTCCTCCTGCTCTTCAAATAAAAGCCAGCCTCCTGAGCACAGCCCCTGCGATCTGGGTCCTGCCCAGCCTCCTGACCCCATCTCTCACCACTCTCTCCTCCCTGTTCCTGTTCAAACCACACTGGGCTTTTCCGGAGCATGCCGGGCCTTGGCCCTCCCCTGCCCGATCTCTGCTCTCCCTGGTCCCTCTACCCACATCTTCACTCGGCCCCACTGTCACCTCCTGACCCAAGATCAGCTTGCCTGCTTGTTTCCTTGTATTTAATCTTTCTTCCCTACTAAGATGTCAGCCTTCCGACAGGCAGGGGCAGCATCTGCCTGCTTGCTCCTGTGTCGCCAGCATCTAGCACACGGCCTGGCACCCAGCAGGCACCAAATACATATTTCTTTGAATGAATGAATAAATGACTTTTGGAGAGAATTCCAACAAAAGTGGTCAAAATCAAATAAAGCGTAAAAATTCCTATTGAACCCAGGACCATCTCAGCTAATTTCCATTATGTCTCCTGACGATGGATGGGGTGCCAGGATTCCTGGCAAATGATCTGGCAGATTCCTTTGGAATTCACTCTCTTCTTGATTTGAAAGATGACAAGCAAAATTTAACAGAGAGAGCAATATTTCAGCTTCTGGTGTTTAGAATTATAAACTGTGGGGCCAGCCCAGTGGCACAGCGGCCAAGTGAGCACATTGCACTTCAGTGGCCCGGGGTTTGCCAGTTCAGATCCCAGGTGCAGACATGGCACGGCTTGTCAAGCCATGCTGTGGCAGGTGTCCCACATATAAAGTAGAGGAAGATGGGCATGGATGTTAGCTCAGAGCCAGTCTTCCTCAGCAAAAAGAGGAGGATTGGCAGCAGATATTAGCTCAGGGCTAATCTTCCTCAAAAGAAACCCTAGAATTATAAACTGTATTTTCTGTATATTCTCTGGGTGTGTGTAATTTTTAGAATGTCTTTTAAATATTCTCCTCTACAAACTAACACTTTCTCAAACTGCTTGCTTGGTAGGGCTTCAAAGATGTTTTGCCTCATTTAATCACAATGTAACTCGTGAAAAAGGAAGTAAGATATTAACTACCGCTCATCTCCGTTGACCTGTGGTTCTCAGGTACACGGGGCTACAGAAAAGGAACCACATTAACTGGAATAATTCACCTGGCTGTGAACGAGGAAAAGGGGAGGGCAGAAAGGCTGCGAGGGAGGGCTGGCAGCTGTCAAAACAGCAACCCCTTATAATTTCCCATTTTAGCTTCAGAGAAAAGGGAACAGGAGGGAACCCAGCACAATGATAGGAGATTCATTCACCGGCAATCTGGGAAAACACTTCTGATCCCGGAAAGCATTATTTTTGAAAAGCAATTTGCGTGGCGGTTTAATTTACTCCAGAAAACCAAAAAAAGGAACAGCAGCACTTAAAATAGCCATGGAACCTATTCCGAGGCTGGTTTCATCAACAAAACCACGAAAGCGAGATTCTTTTCTAACATACCTGAAAAACCTGAAGCCGACGCATTATCAGGCTGCACACAGCACAGGAAAATAGTTTTAAATTACAAAATCACTGGTTGGTATCATGACAATAAACAAAATAATAGCAATACCCTCCACCCCATCTCGTACCCAGTGACAGCATCAAAGGTTCAGTTAAAGCCACACGTCTGAAGCCTGTTTTTAACTCCCACCTGTCATGTTGTCCGAAGAAACGGGCATCGACCTGCCCATCTTTGTCCCTCAGAGCTTTTGCAGGCCAGAATGGAAACCCCTTCAGTTTTGCCCAAACCAAAGGATGTGGATTGCTCTAGGAAAAGAAAAACAAAATCCAGAGTTTGTACATATTTGACAGCCGGATACACACATAAAGCTCGGTGTGCAGGGACAAAGCAAGGCAGAGGTGACACAGGCCACAAATGGATAGAGAACAGCTTCAAGCAGGGCCTTCCTAAGTGGCGTTCCCTAGAAGATGTGTGGCCTGTAAGCTCGGGCAAGGCTGGGAATGGGGTTACATGGAGCACCCGAGACAAAGCCAGGCACGGATCCTGGCTGTCCCGTATTCCCTGGGTAGCCATGAACAAGAAAGTCACCTTTGTAGGCAACCCGGAGACAGTTAAGACCTACACCCTCTGTTAAGTTGGAGGATTACACACGCATTGTATGTAGCAAAGAAGGGGCACTATTAGCCACCTTTATTCTTTACCGAGGTCTCCTCAGAGCCTTAACTATTCAAGCGTTAATCTCCAAAGGCAGGAAGAGACATAAACTATGTTTTGAGTCTCACCTTTACTTGCCCAATCTTGCCCCCAATACGTTCCAATCCCACCCCCATTCTCCCCAACACACACACTAGCCCAGCCTCACAACACACTTCTCTGCAGAACACCAGTTTGGAAAATGCAGATCCGTGGGAGAAACCAGGGTGATATTTGGCACACACGCCCCGTTGCCCCCAAGAACCATGGTTTGGGGAAACCATGGAGTTAATCCAGGGAGCTATATCCGACCTCCGAAAATCGACTCAACACAATTTGTAAATGACACACTCATTTAACACTCGTCTCGTTATCTGCACGTCCTTGGTGCATCCCCTCTCTGATGTGCCCCCTTTTACTCTGCATCCCGGAGTCTGCCGGGGCTAACGAGCCCGGGAGATCACGATGGTACCTCTGGCACAGGAACTCAGCCGCAGAGGTCTATCCTACCCGCACTGCTTTCACTCTGCCATCACTTTATCAGTGAAAAATTATTTAAAAACTTCGTCCAAAGTTTCATCAAATAAGCCACCTGGAGAAAGGTGTCAAGTCGTCAGCCAAGGCAGAGTTCAGAAAATGAAGGAAAGAAAGGAAATCCAACTTACACAAGGCTCACAAAACCAGTTATCTCGTTTTTGGCAAGCAGCTAGATAACACTCTGGACATACTTCGATTTCATTCATCTGTAAAGGAAAAATACGTTAGAATGTACCATCCCAGGGACCGTACCTCTGCAGGCCCTCAAGAAATGCACGATGACATTGGCAGATAAGCTCAGCTAAACTAAGTCCCACAGCAGGGAACAGCTTGGAGATTAATCCAGCCACTTCTCACCAACCCCACTGCCTCCACCTAGCCCAAGCCGCCACCATGCCTCTCTGGACCAAGTCTCCCAGCTCCACTGTGGTGCGTGCCCCACACAGACACAGCAGCCAGAGGCCTCTTCCACAAACGGATCTCATCTCGTCTGGATAAGGCGTCTCTAACCACCCTACACCAGTGGTTCTCCACGAGGGCAGTGCAACTTCTCCGGGAACACTGGGCAATGTCTGGAGATATTTTTGGTTATCACAACTCGGAGCAGGGAGAGTGGCAACTGGAATCTATCTATGATGTACAAGGACAGTCCGTGCAGCAAAGAATTTTCTGCCTACGAATGTCAGTAGTGCCAAGGTTGAGAAATAACAATGACATCTAAACTCCTGACCAGCTCCTTCAAGGCCTTGTGCAGTCTGGCCTCAGCCCACCTGTCGGAGCTCCCCAACCTCTTCCAGCCACACTGGCCCCTGCTTGCCACACTCAACTTCGATGCGCCTCTAGTCACATGGCCCAGAGCAGTTAGTTAATACCACGTTGCCCTACTTTGTTTCCGCTGACAACAATCTGAAATTCTAGAAGTTACCTACGGTCTTCCTCCCTCTTGAGAAAGTACCCTCCCCAGAGTACCACCACACCTCAGAACCAAGGGCCCTGGGAGCTCCCTTCTGAAGAAGGATCTCCATTCAGACTCCACCATCTACTAGCTCTCTGTAACTTCAGGAGCAGTTGCTTATCTTGTCTGAGCCTCCATTTCCTCATCTACAGAACGGGGGTGAGTGGGGCCAGCCTGTGGCGCAGCAGGTAAGTTCACATGTTCCGCTTTGGCGGCCTGGGGTTCGTGGGTTCGGATCCCAGGTGCAGACCTATGCACCACTTGTTAAGCCATGCTGTGGCAGGCATCCCACATATAAAGTGGAGGAAGATGGGCACGGATGTTAGCTCAGGGCCAGTCTTCCTCAGCAAAAAGAGGAGGACTGGCAGCAGATGTTAGCTCAGGACTAATCTTCCTCAAAAAAAAAAAAAAAAAGAATGGGGATGAGAGAAGTACCTACCTTTCAGGACCATTATAAAAATTGTATGAGATAAATGTAAAGCCCCCAAGTGACTCAGTAATGAATACAACAAGTAGCATTTCTCAGAGATTCAGAGCGTGCTGCTGTCACTGTAAGTTCCACAGGTATTAACGCATTTACTCTTCAACCCCCTCTGAGGTAGGACTGTTGTCACCCCCATTTCACAGAGGGAGAAAAGGAGGCCCCAGGGAGTCAAGTCACCTGCCCCAGGTCTCAGTGCGGCAAAGTGGCAGGGCTGGGATCTGAACCCAGGGAGTCAGGCTTCAGAGTCCACAGGTTCCACCCTGCCCGTAGGGGTTGCTGGTATCTTCCCATCATCGTCTGACTTGATTTTCTCTTATCTCCTGAATCATGCAAGGTGCAGGACACCTAGCAAGTGCTCCATTATTATTTATAATTAATTACTTATGATTATGTAATTTATAATTATGATTAATCAATTATAACTGACTGACTTAACGAGCCAAGGAATAAATGAGTGAATGAACAAATGAATGAATGGTGGAATATATTTCCTTCTTCTACTCACTCTACTCCTGGGCTATTCCAAAGGTACTGGGCAGAACAAACTGATAACATGAGGTCCAGGGCAGCCCTGGCCTTGCAGCCCACAAGCAGCAGTGTGTTGCCGAGAGGTGGATTCAGAAATGACAGAACAGTGTACCCGGGTTCAATACACGCCACCTCGGGGCAACCCCCAATGAAAAGCCTCAGCTTCAGCTCCCACATCCAGGGAAACAGCGGGACAACTCGCCCACACAAAACTCCAAATCGCCAGCGAACATCAAAAATAGTCCATCACCACTTGTCATCAAAGAAACGCAAACCAAAATCACAGTGAGATGCCACTGTTTTTACTCATCACATTAAAACAGAGATATGTGTATTTTTAAAACCAGAACTTCCAATACTGCAAAGGACACAGAAAAACTCCCACACTCGTCCACTCCTGGTTACTGTATAACCTGCTACAGCTTCTCCAGAAGACAATCGGGAAATAACTACCTAAAGCCGGGGCCGTGTTGACAGCCTCGGACCTGTAGCTGCTTTTCTAACTGTACTAAGGCAATCATCAGAACAGCCATGATAGATTCTGTTCGTCCTGTGTGCTTAATTACCCGGGAAAACACTCAAACTAAGTGAAAAATGTAGATTACAAAACTGTCTATATAAGTATGTAGGCATGGACATATCCTAAGATATCCAAATGTTTTCTTTACGAATGAATGAAAGTGCACAGACAGGCTGAAGGCCATTCCAACTCGGTGTTTTACTTGTACAATGTGGGGTCTAATAAAGAAAGGCTCCTTCGTACCATCTGTGCCACCAGCCTGTCCCACAACCACTAGAGCCTCAGGGCACACAGCCCGGCAGGTTCATTTCATCCACACCATCGAAACGCGGGCAAGAGGACAGACTCTCCAGGACAGCTGAGTCACTTTACAGTCAGGACCTTTCCCCCAAATAATGTCCAAACCCAAACAGCTTCTGCAAGAAGCCTGAAAATTTCCATCTCCCTTAAATCAAGGCTAAGGTAAGGGTGTTTTATAACATACTGGGGTCCCTTCTTGGTTACTTTTACTTTCCTTGAAGAGAGGGGATGCTGTCTGAGCCTCAAGAAATCCCGGCATCACCACGGCGACCCGCTGGGAGATTCTGCGAATGGAAATTCCAGCCACCACAACCTCTTACCCTGGACACATTTAAAACAGGACAGTGGGAAACACATACCTCATGCTCACAGATTTTGATGACTACCTTCGCTATTTGCGTCAATTTGTGATTTCCTAAGGGAACAAGAAAATAGGATTAACTGAAATGGAAAGACCCAGCCTTGGGACTATACTTTCTCTAACAACCTTTTCACTTGCTTTTCCCCAGGATCAAGCTTTTAAAGGCTAAAAACCAAAGGATTCTGGCTTCTAATATTGGTTCAAATTATGTGACTCATCCCAAAAATGTTGACCAATCTTTGGTGTCAAAATGTCGTCATCTCTGAAACAGAGCAATTCGTGTGGGCTGACCTACGGTTCATGGTTTAACATTTGAAAGACGCTTTCACATTCTAAAGGCTCAAATTAGCAGAAATGAGCCTTATTCTATCCAGTGTCCCAAACTCCTACCCAAGAGGGGAAAGGGGAAAGAAGACATTTAATAGAGTAGCTCTGGTGTGCCCATTGCTTCGAAATACATTTTCTTGTGAACTCCTCAAGAAGCCACAGGAGGAAGCAGGTATAAATGCTCCCATTTCATTAATGAGTAAGCCAAGGCTCGAAGAGTCATCGCTTTTGAGACCACTTAGCTAATGAGTTGAGGGAGTGACCCCAGATCTAACCCTAAATCCCTCACCTTTGCACTAAACCAGGAGAAGATGGTCCAAAAGCCAGGCTTTCTTCAAAAGCTATTTTAAGAAATTATGAATTTGTTGGCAAGAAGATTTCACATACACACACACAAATATCTAGATTTCTGGCTCGCCTTGAACACCCAGATCTGATAACTCTGAATCCAACAAACCACCGGAGCGTCTAGTGGCGACCCCTCCAGACCAGGTAGGAGTTCCCCGCCCTGCACCATCTCTAGCTCTCCCCATGGCCAATGGACATCCTGGCTCCTGCTGATGTTTTCTTGCACCTGACCTCGTTCACCTGTTCATACGATCTGACAGGCTTTGCTGTATTTTTGAGTTTATAATCTTCACACGAATTCTCAATGCCTAGTGACTCTCTCCCCTCCCCGAACCCCTAGCCCTGCCACTGAGTTCACAATGCAAAACATCTATTTCAGCAAACATCTATCCATTCATACAACTTTCCTTAAACACTAGCTAAGTCTGTGCTAGACCCAAGGGTATGCAGGGAACAAAACACGGTGTCTGCCCTCAAAGAGCTTACATCCTGGTGAGCAACTCAAACAAATAAAAACAGTACCCTCCAGAAAGTATGATAAGTGCTGCCATGGGAAGTACAGGTACTGTGAGAGCCCCAAGCAGGAGCACATACTATGGCCTGGGTCACGAGGGAAGGCTCCTCAGAGGACGGACAGGCTGAGAGAGAAGGATAAGGAAAAGTCACCAAGGCAAAGAAGGAAAGAGTGTTCCAGCAGGAGACAAGAGGAGGGAAAGATGACAGGAACAGGATGGGGCAGGACACTGAAAGATCCACCTGGCCAGAAGGTAGACAGAGGATTGTGGGAGAATCTGGGGCAATGGGAAAGGTGCCACGAGAGATTTTAATGGAAATCTTCCTCCATTCTGTCCAGATAGCTCTATCCTCTAAATCCATGAAAACACAACTGACAAAACTTTATCAAGAATGCAAAGAAATCCGGCAACTCAATAATGAAAACACAGGGGCCAGCCCAGTGGCGCAGCAGTTAAGCTCACATGTTCCACTTTGGCGGCCCGGGTTCACTGGTTCGGATCCCAGGTGCGGACATGTCACCGCTTGGCAAGCCATGCTGTGGCAGGTGTCCCACATATAAAATGGAGGAAGATGGGCACGGATGTTAGCTCAGGGCCAGTCTTCCTCAGCAAAAAGAGGAGGATAGGCAGCAGATGTTAGCTCAGGGCTAATCTCGCTCAAAAAAACAAAAATAATAATAATGAAGACACAAACAACTCAATTTTTTTAAATGAATAAGATATCTAAATAGGTATTTTACCAAAAAAGATACACAAATGACTAATAAGCACATGAAAAGATGCTCAATACCATTAGTCACTAGAGAAGGGCAAATTAAAACCACCATGACATACTATTTCATATCATCAAGAATGGCAAAAATTAAAAAGACAGACAACATCAAGTATTGGCAAGGATGGAGAACAAGTCAGACTCTCACATACACTGCTGGGAAAAGTGTAAAACGATACAACTACTTTGCAAAACAGTTTGGCAAAATTCCCCACGAAGTTAAATATAAACCTACTCAATGATCCAGGAATGTCACTCCTAGGTATTTACCCAAGAGAAAGGAAAACACGTCCACACAAAGACGTGTACAAGAATGTTCACAGTGACTTTAGTCTTAACAGCCAAAAGCTGAAAACAACCCAAATGTCCATCAGCATCAATAAGGTGAATGGATAAATAAATTGTATGTTGACACTAAAAATCACTCAACAATACAAAGAAACAAACCACATGACACACATTATGTGGATGAATCCCAAAGATACTGTGCCGCGGGACAATAGCCAGACACGAGAGTGTAACCTCCGACTCCATTTATATGAAATTCTAGACTATGTGAAAGTCATCTACAGCAAAAGAAAACAGAACAGGAATTCCTTTTAACGGTGGTAGATTTGCTGGAAAGGGCACGTAGGAATATACTGGGTGATGGAAAGTTCTAGATCTTATTTGGGCTTGTGATTACATAGGTGGTTACACATATGTCAAATTCATGGAATGTACATGTAAAATCTGAGCCTTTTATCGTACGTAATTATTCCTCCATTAAAATAAAGTTTTTGAAAAGGACAGGCAGCAGTGCCATACGGCCGAAAGCCACTGTGGATGTCAGCTTATACCTTAAAATGCACACAGCACTGCCCCTATTCACACACATTAGCCATCTATACACAGCTATTCTCAGCTATTGGCCCTGATGCATGAAAACAGAGCCTGATTTTTTATGAAGGCTGGGAAAACGGGCAATACACACAGCATCTTTTTAGGAGTCATTGCAGCCACTCACCCCCGTTATAAATGATGCAGTTGTGCAAAATCCACTTTGCATCAGCCAGAAAAGCTTCTGTGCAGCCATACATTTTCTTTTTAGCGTTCTGGGGAGAAAAGGGAGAGCATAACCATCAGTGAGTCTATACAAGCCACAGCCCATCACACCTGCGTCCCCCACATAATTTTCTTAGCAGTCATTTGCCAAATTAATTAATGCTTTTATTCGTTTCCCAAGATGCTATTGTATTTGAGATCTCTAACTATAAAAAGGCACTCGTTGAATTCATCACACTAACTTGAGTTTTCTCATCTTACAGCAGCTATCATTTATCAAGCAGCTTATTCCAAGGAGCCAGGATATTATATGTACTTATGTGTTTACTATTATTTCTAATGGTCTCACATAAGCCGCATGATTAAGAACTCAGCGAAGCAGCTATTATCATTCCCACTTGACAGACAGGGAAATTGAGGTATGGGAATGTTAAGGAACTGATCCAAAGTTCCAAATCTATTCACTTATGGAGCCAGGATTCCAACCCTGTCTTTTTTGAATGTCTTCTTTTTTGAACACCCTAAGGGTGCATGCAACTTTCCAAAGCAGGTCAGATTTACTGTTCAGGGGTCATCCGTGCAGACAATAGGAAATAATGTTTTCTCCACATCCACAATTTTCTCGATCCACGTTTTGATGCCAACAATTTGAAAACTGGCACCAGGACGACATGCACAATCTGAAGGGTTACAAGTGCAAACTTTCAGCGTGGAATTTTAGCATGAGTTTTTAAAAGACCTTCAGGCATTAAAGAAATATCCTTATCAGTAGCCTCAGCCACATCTTTATTACTAATCTGGAGGTGTCCCAGATACTTCATTTTCTCATCTTCCTTCCTGCTGCTCTCATTAGCACCTCCAGAAGAAAGAGAAGAGGAGGTAAGGCTCAAATCAATCAAATCCCTAATTCTTAGAAGCTACAACTTTTTCAGGTAAAAAGCTGGAATCACTAGCAGTAAGTGGAGCCAAGCAGTGGATTCCAACTCTCCATTGCAATCCTCGGAAGAATGGCACAGGAGAAAGGGGTCAAGAGTCCTTCCATCCAAATGAAAATGGTGCAGGGGAAAGGCAGAGAAACCATCTAACTTGAGATGGGGCAGAGGAAGTGAGAGAGGGTCTTTAGGCATCTCGACAATTGTGGGCTCCTCGATGGAGGCCAACCTTTTCCAAAGTACAAAGGTCCATGGGATGGAAGATGTACTCCGCGTAGTCGGGATGCTGTTCCAAGGGAACAGGCTTCTGGAACGCATCTGTCTATAAAAGAGAGAAAAGATGCACACACACAGGCACAAACCCATCATTACTATGCAAGACAAGGTGTTAATACCAACAAAATACTGGAGAAATGGAGACCACTTTTCAGACAATCCAGTTCTAAAGGTTTCCAAAAAAGAATGACCCTGGGGGAGCCGGCCTGGTGGTGCAGTGGTTAAGTTCACGTGCCCCGCTTTGGCAACCTGGGGTCGTGGGTTCAGAAACCAGGCATGGACCTAACATACCACTCATCAAGCCACACTGTGGCGGCTTCCCACATATAAAATAGAGGAAGATTGGCACACATGTTAGCAACAATCTTCCTCAAGCAAAAAGAGGAAGATTGGTAACAGATGTTAGCTCAGCACCAATCTTCCTTGCAAAAAGAAAAAAAGAAAAAGAAAAAGAATGACCTTGGGGAGCTGCAGATTGAATCACCTTCTAATTCAGCCTGGTTATCAATAATCATGGGGGTATTCTGGTTTTATTTGTTTTGTTTTCAATAAATATCCAAACAACAGGTCCTGTCCTCTTACATGAAGATGAATAAGAATAAAACACTATCCGTCACTTTAGACCCGAACTCTGAACGAGCCTTATTTACACTGCAAACGCGCATAATCAAAGCCGACTGAGGGTGAAATTTGGCTACTTCTAGAGATGACACAGCAAGTAAAGCTCCCCTAAGTGCCAAGACAATTTACCCCATGGGGAAAAATTTTAGACAGTGAGATTTTCCTCTTCCTTTGAGAAGGCAAATTACCTTCAACACAGGGACTGTGTAAAATGTTTTCATTTGGATCCATGGTTTTAGTTTTGTTTTGTTTTGTTTTTTTCCTTTCCTCCCTCTCCCCACAGCCCCCAGTACATAGTTGTATATTCTAGTTGTAAGCCCTTCTAGTTCTGCTATGCAGGACGCCGCCTCTGCATGGCATGATGAGCGGTGCCATGTCCGAACCCAAGATCCAAACCGGTAAAACCCCGGGCCGCCAAAGCGGGGCACACAAACTTAACCACTCGGCCACGGGGCTGGGCCCCTGGATCCACGTTCTTAAGTCCTACTTGAACAAGCTCAAAATGCAAGGCCTGGTCTCTTGATGGGTGGTGTTCACTTATCAATAAAAATATCTAGAAGATTTAATTAAACTTCAAATTATACTCAAGCAAGGCATCTGACGGGGTCACCATGTACAGTCATCAGAGCCTTCTTTCATCCAGCATGAAAGTGTGGCCGTTTTAAGTTAAAAAGACGCTTCAACAAAATCCACAACTTTCTGCCCCGGTTGATTTCCTATCAATTTATATGAGAAATTAACGCCTTCTTTGATTTTTTCCTTTTGCTTTATAATTCTGCAGTGTGGACCAGACTACGTGTATATTCTTTTCGTCAACAGGCTAAGTGCTAGCTGCTGGCGACTATCAAAAACAGGAAATAATTCCTTATCACTCAACACCAAAATGACCCCACAGTAAAAAAAATTGTAATTTTTGTTTTAACCAAACTGAGGCTATACACTTTTGCTCCCACTGACTGAGATTCTGTTAAAGACACAAACAGACTCCCAATTTAGCAACACCCAGTTGGCACGCTGGCTTTTTTTTCATCGTGATATCAAATTTCAGAATATAATCTCAAAACTAAAGCTTGTTTCTTTAAGGAAATTAAATCACTAAATGGAAATGAAGCTACTAACTGCCCTGAGATTCTACATTTCTGTCTATTCATTTGACTTAGAAAGCAAATGATGAAGAATTTCCCAAAGGGTCACCACTAGCCCATATGGTGCCTCCGTGCAAATCAGAAAAGGAGAAGCCTACCCCTCCAGTTTCTGTAGGAAAAATGTCATAATATGTTGACTATACTGTCATAACATTTTATTTTTACTGCCAAGGTATTTTGCTGCCATCTTCCTGAAAATTGCCGCAAAAACGAAAACCACCATGGCTGTGATTTCGTGACTGGGCCGCCTGGGAGGGAAACCACGGTGAAACGCACCGCTTGCCAGCTGAAGGGGGCAGCCCTACCCTCGCATGCGGATTCTTCTTAAGGGGTGAAGGCTGCCCATCAAATCCCCTTTCACAGGTGAAGGAACTACGCAAATTCTCACCCTTTATGGGATCTCACCAGTTCAGTTTTACTCGAAGTTTCCATCAGCAGACTTTGATTATAAATAAACTGGGTTATAATCAGCTTTCTCATTAAAATGGAATTTACTAACTCCCATGGGAAAGAGCACAAAACTGCCCCTTCCCCCAACAGGGTGTGAGGTTTCACTTCACAACCAGTCAGAATTTTAAATCGCCATCAGCTTTCTACTCTATGTCATTTTTTGACTCAGCTCCTCAGGGACACAGAGCACTCACCATAGAGTTAACGGAACGTCATCATATCTTATGTTTAATTTACAGATATCTGAATTCAGGCACATAAGAAGGACCAAAGAGTAGGCACAGGCTAAGGCTGAGGCTACACAGAACAAGAATGTTAACAGACCAAAAGAAATGTCACTATTTCCATGTACATTTATACCAAGAGGAACTTCCTTCTTACCCCTGGCTGTTTCATTTTCTGAATGGCAAACTTGAGCAGGTAGGACAACTGTTCGATGGTGAGCATTGTCATGGCTTTACTCTGGGTCTCGATGCATTCTGCCACTGTAATCTTCTACAAGTCAAGAATCACAGAAACGTCCAGTTAGAAAGAAAGTCACTATCCGTGTACTTATTTCCCTTTCCTAATTTTCCAGTAAGCTTACACACAAAAAATAATTTCCATCTAAATGAGACAAGTTGTTTCACTCCAATCTACTTGACTATGTACTGGATCAGCGGATAAAAACTGGAAAGCACACCAGTCTATTGATTACCTTATTAAGAAGTATGTTTAGCTCACGAAGATGACATAATCTGAAAAAGGTGTGGGTAGGAGAGGAACTAAAAAATCGTCATTATTATAACCTTAGGTTTCAAGAATGGGATATAAAAGGAAAGGCCACTGATGGCTTCAGGGTAATCTCTTCCCACAATGAATCAGCCACTTGACTTGATCCTCTTAAGGTTCTGGGCTATCTTTCCGGAAACTGACAGGGCATTAACTCAACAACATCACTGATGGAAGGGACAGTCTTCCCTGTAGAAAGAATCCAAAGGATGCTAGGAGACTAATAATAAGTATGACTTCATTCTCTGTCACCACGGATATGAACCCACTCAGGACATTCTGGAAACCTACATGAGAAGCGTAGTCTAGCTGTCTATCTCCATGGGCATAAATGTCATTTTGTAAGGGAAAGTCCCCTCAAAGAAGAGCCCCAGAGAAATATCTGAAACCGGATTCTGCTATGTAAATCTGATACTGAATCTCAGAGGCTCAGAATCTTTATGTAGCAGAAACAACAAAAATAGCAAATTTTGACGATGTCAGGAAACTCTTTAACCATCTGTGTAGGAAGAGCTGAGAAAAGTTTTCTCCAATTAACTTGGATTGAGTTTCCTTTCTTCATTATCTCTGGATCCTCCAAAAGGAATTTGCAGACGTATCTGATTGGTTGTCGAGGAAAAGGGCAACACGAGAGGCACTCAGACGCTGAGAACAGTACACGACGCCCGTGTCTAATGGCTTAGCCACCAGAGCCTGAAAGAGTAGTCTCCCAGTTGACAGGCTCCCCAATTCGCCCCTGGAAGAAATTCGGGGCTCTAAATCTCAGACGGAGACATCTGCTTGTTTGAATTTCAGTCTGTTTCCAGGTAACTATCCGTGGCAGACACTTGGCTCGCCTGCTCAACTGTCATTCACCTCCTCTCCCTCCACCCCCGACCCCTTCCTCCTGGCTGGCAGTGCCTGGTTCCCACAATATAGACTAAAAGTGCCAGACAAGCATTTTCAAGCCTTTTTCGCCTCGGGACTCGTGATCCAATCCCCACCAATGAGCCCAAGGGCAAGTCAGCTGGAGGCCAACGGGCTAAGTCCTTCTGCTCAACAAAAAGGGAAGTGAGGAGACAACGCTGTTCTCTCAGGAAGATTTTTGTTCAGCCACTCGTGATAAAACCCCCAGCAGCCATCTTACAGCCATGAGGAACACATCGCCCTAACAATGAAATGGAAAGAGTCGAGCTTTGAAAGAACTCTAGCCTGGCCCTGCCTCTGGGTCCTCTCTACACATGATAATAAAGCCCTATTGTTTCAATCGCCTTTCATCAAGATCTATTACTTGCAGCAAAAGCATCCTATCTGAGCCACTATCTTTTTCCCAAAGTTATTAAATAACTGGGAAGGGTTGGTCAAGACAAAAGGAAATAAATGAAGGCTCTAGTTCCCACACGAAATGAAGCAGAATGAGGTCAGGCTCTGAACAAGAGGGCATCGCTGGGCAAAGCGTGTCCTACACATCTCCCCATCTAGAGTCCCAGAGAGAAGCAGCAGCCATCTTTTGTGATTTTAGCAGCAGAAGACCATTCAAATGTCATCATCACATTGATCTGATGTCTAATTTCTTTCCATATAGTTCTTATTTTTCTCCTTTCTCTACACAAAGGCGATGCCACAGACGCTATCCTATAGCTTGCTTTCTTCCCACTAAAGACATCTGGGAGAGCTTTCCATTTCACACACAGAAAGCTTCCTCGTTTGAGATCTAATTCCAATATACCTTTGAATCCAAGTGACATTCCACATTAAATTATTCTGTAGGTGACATTCTTATTCTCAACGTTTGCAGAAGCATCGTAGTTGGGAGTCAGCCAGAAGAGAAGACAGCTCAGAATCGTGGAAGCCGCAATAACTGGTTTAATGAAGAGTGTTTAGGCTACACCCATTCCGGTCACTGTCCCTGTGCTTCTGCTCGGGGGTCCGTACTCGCGCTCCCTCCACCCGGAACGTCTTCCCCACGGCCGCGTGGCTCCCTCCTCCCCTTGTTCAGGTCCTCCTCACATTTTAGCGAGGCATTCCTGGACCTCTTCACTTAAAAAGGAAACACCCCGCACGTCCCTCACTCCCTATTCTTCATGTTCAATTCATTTTCTCTTCTTCTAAGAGAACACTCTTCTTCTAACACGCTGTATATAATTTCATTTATTTGGGTTTTTGCCCTTTTCTCCTGAAGAGAGATATGTGATTCATGCTTCTTTTTGTTCTCTGTCGACTCCCGAGCACCTAACAGGCACTTGAGAAAGAGCTGTTCCACGAATGAGAGCATCAGATGGCAACCACTCAGAACAGACCACCACAACCAGTCTTCCCAGCTTGGCTACCGACGAGGCTTCAATGACACAGGCGGAGACGAGATCCAAGAAAGCAAAAGGCAGCGTGAGGTCTTTTCAAAATATGTGCACTGTTCAAGGTTCATAAGGAAACTTCTGAAATGTTCATCACAGGAGAATCAGAGAAGGCTGCAGATCTCAAAGTGACCCCAAGACCCACGAAGAACCGAAAAGAACATTCTGTGTGACTGTGTTCCTGAGAGCCGCAGTGCTGAATGTCGGTCCAAGAGGAGGTGAACAGGACAAAGCAGGTCGAGGCAAGAAATTTCTCTTTTCCCTATATCTGGGTTATTTGAAAGATTAAAAATAAAAGGAAGAGAGAGAAAGGAGAGGAAACAAGGCGAATAATGCATTCAGTCATCAAGAACTAACCTCACATTCGGGACAAAACCAGTCCCCCTCTGGTTCCGATGTCAGTCTCAGACACTTAGCGTGATAAACCCGGGGACAGAGCTCACAGCAAAGGACTTGGCCTTCCCGGTGACAAACCCAGCAGTAGAAATCATTTCGCCCATCCTGCGGTACAACATCAACAGGGTCTGTGGTGAGTGGCTGCTTCATATAGTAAAACGGACCATGTCTTAGTTCTGACTGAAATGTAGGCAAGAAAGACAGGTTCGGTTTCAAAACAAATGTGCATTCTCAAAAGGAATTTGAACAAATACATCAATAACAACAAAAGAAAATTACAGCATTTCAACATTCATTACAAAGCCATCTTGGGGGACTCTACTAAAACACAGAGTTTGCAGGTTGTTAGATAGTAAGAGATTTTTCTTTCTTCTATTTGAAGAGGCCATGGATGGAAAAGCTGGTGTCTAAGAGTTAACAGGCAGCCCTGGCAGAATAGCACGATGGCCGCGACCCAGGCATCCCTGGGTTCAGGTCTCAACTCTACGAGCTGGGTGACCCCAGGCAAGTCGCTCAACCTCTCAGCTTCGTTTTTCTCATCTGTAAAATGGGGGTGACAACACCTAAGTTCGTGGGATTGTGGTTGGGATTGAACGGGATGACATAATGGACGCATTCAACACAGTGCCACCATTACTAATATTGCTAATACGGTTAAGGGCCCAACGTGCAGAAGTCTAAACGTACAAAGCCAACAGAAGCACAGCACTTGCCCTGGGATTCTTTCAACAGCACGCAAGTGGAGAGCGGATCAACTGGACCTGAGCCACCAAAAGATGGTCATCTGTTTCTAAGTCCACCCTCAATGCATAAGGCACGTATGAGCACAAGAGGCTCCTAAAGCCGGGATTCTCAGCCACAGCAGATCCCCGTGTTCACAGAGGAGCCCCACCTCCTGCTGAGAACCAACAACGGCAGAAAGATTCGACGAGCGGCCAACTCATGGGAGCCAGACCCCTTCCTATCCCAAAATATTGGCAGAAATGTTTCCCTAACGATACTCTGTAGAAATCCAGCAAAGGCACACTGCAACACATACAATTACTCAGAAGAAACTCATTAGGGAAATGTCTATCAGAAATCAATAAGAAACCCCGCTTGGAAACACGAGGAAGTCAAAATGACCTGGCAACTGGCTGTGTGACCTTGAGAGAGCTACTCAACCCACTCTGAGCCTCGATTCCACGGATTACAGCTCAGCTACAACCACAGCACCTACCTTTGAACAAACTTCCTTGTAGAACAAGGTTTTTCTTCCCCGTCCTTCAGTAAAACATTACAATTTCCTCCAAAAAGATCTTATATATTGGTTAGAGACTGCGTAATTTTTGTTGATACTGTGAATGGGATCTTTTTCTATTATATTTTCTAAATAGTAATTGTTGGTACATAGAAATGCTGTGAGATTTTTAATACTGACCTCATATATAAACAGTTCTAATAGTTTCTTGATTAAAAATCTTATCATGTCAAATTAACATCAGTTTCATCTGTTCATGTCTAATATTTTTACGTTACTTTTCTTTTTTCCTTATTTTAATGGCTAGGACCCCCAGGATAAAGGCAAAGAGTGGCCAAGATTGCAGGCGTTCATGACTTCTCGTTCCTGGTTCTTACTACGAGGTTTGAATGTTCTCACAATGCCTGCTATTTCCACACTCCTTGAGAAAGAGCCCCACAGACGCTTATTTAACAGATCTTGTTAACCAATCCTTTCAAGCCTCCCCATTTTCATTTCTACTAAGAAAATAACTAAGACTTTTAAGAGTGATTGCATAATTCTTGAGCCCAGTTATTTCCCTGTTTCAGTACAATGTTTAAGATAGAGCACTCTGCTTGGTTTCCAGAGGGTGACATCATTGTTAAAATATTCTTTCCATGTTACGTTTTTCAATATACTGTTACACACACCATCTTCATCTTACCCTCACAGCCACCCAGAGAGGTACTCAGGGTACATAGCCCTAGTCTTACTTGACAGATGAAAAGACTAGGTAAAAAAGACTTATCTGATCCCCAGGCCCAGAGCAAGGCCTCAAACCTGGGTCTCCCAGCCCTTTCTCATGTCCCTATGCCCCATATAACATGATGCTGGATGCAGAAGAGATTCTGATGATTAAGGGACCCCCTCAGAGAACGCTCTCTGTAGTTCAAAATAACTTCTGCTTAATGCAAAATGCTGGAGGGAAAAATCTGAAAATTAAAAAGACAGCCAGAGGGGCTGGCCCCATGGCTGAGTGGTTAAGTTCGCGTGCTCCGCTTTGTCAGCCAGGGATTTCGCCGGTTCGAGTCCTGGGCTTGGACATGGCGCCGCTCATCAGGCCATGTTGCAGCGTCCCACATGCCACAGCCAGAAGGACCCACAACTGAAGTGTACGGCTATGTACCGGGGGGCTTTGGGAGAAAGGGGAAAAAATAAAATCTTTAAGAAAAAAAAAAAAAAAAGCCAGAAACATAACAGAAGGGCATGTGAACAGAGACCAGCATCTCGAGCAGGGTTCTCAACCTTGGCACTGAGGACGTTTGGGCCAGAAAATTCCTCATTGTGGGCGCTGTCCTGTGCACTGTAGGAGGTGTAGCAGCTTCCTCGGCTAGAGGCTGGTAGCACCCCCATGCACAAAACTCTGACAAGCAAAAATCTCTCCAGATATTGCCTAATGTCCCTTGGGGGGCAACACTGCCTTTAGTTGAAAGCCACAAACGTAGAGGGTCTATCTGCCTAGGAAAATGGTTGAGGTTCTTTGGAGGGAGGGGGGCTTGGTAGAGGAAGAGGAAGAGGAAGGGGGGAGGGGGAGGAAGAGGAAGAGGAGGAGGAAGAGGAAGAGGGGGAGGAAAAGGAAGAGAGGGAGGAGGAGCGGGGGAAGAGGGGGCGGGAGGTGAAGAAGAGAAGAGAAACTCCTATTGAAAGGTAAACCACACCTATCGGGCAAGCAGAACTATTTCTAAGCTGGCAGGGTCTTCCAGGATGGTTCTGTGGCTTCTGCAGGATGGCAGTGAGCCATATTCCAGTGCCTGACTCCCTTTCAGGAAATTAGTAACAGGATAGGAAGAGTCGTTAAGATGTAAACGAAACTGGGAGAATCAAATACGACAGCTCATCTCCCGAGCTGGCAACCCAGGTCCTTTTCAATAGAAGCGGGGGTTCTGCCACTTCAGAAGTTCAGTTTCCCCCACGGTCCTGCCACAGCCCATCTTGGTGGGGTGGGCCTTCCTGGGAGGAACACCAGGGCTGAGCCAGGCTGCCCCAGACCCTTTTCAGGAGATTCCACCCTTCCCTGCGGCCACCGCTGCGGCTGAGAACTGAGAACCAGCAGCCGGGTAACCTCCTTGTCAACCAGACACTGGCCTTATCTGCTCCTTGTGCTTCCTACTCCCTAAAAAGCAGCTGATAACAAATATGGAATATTTAAAAAAGAAAGAGCAAATCATTTCAGGTAAAATGAGTTATGATTTTTTCGCCCCCACACGTATAAGGTGTGTAACCAGCTGGTAAAGCAAACGGGTTGCAACCTGTGTTATTCCAGGATAATTGCAGGCTGCGTGAGCAAATGTGCTTATTTCCCTGCTTCTTCCACAGGTCGGCTTAACAAGAAAATAGACAGGCTTGATTATTCACTTCTGGAATAGCCCAGTCTATACCAGAAGCTGGTAAACTTTTTCTATAAAGTGTTCTATAAATATACGAGTCAGTCAGTCACGTGGTCTCTATTGCCAGGACTCAGGCCTGCCACTGCCGTGCAAAAGGAACCAGAGACAATATGTCAATGTATTAATGTGGCTGTGTGCCAATAAAACTTTATTTACAAAAACAGGCTCCAGGGCACATCTGGCCCACAAGGCTGTAGTTTGCCAACACCTGGTCTGTGTAACCCGGAGAATGAGCGCTCTGACTGTGTGGGAGCACAGGGCACACGTGCTGGGGACGGGGGAACCACAAACTCAAATTCCTACAGGGCCACGTAGGTAACATACATGAATAAAAATAGATCTTGCTCCAGCTTTTGTCCCCGTGCCATCTGATAAAAACCATGGGTCCTGGCAAAACATGTCTCTAAGAAGACCTGTCCAGGCCTGGAGGGTGAGGAAGGCACTGGCATTCAGCCCCAACGCTGGCGAAACAGCAGGGAGGGGCAGAGTTCATGCCCGTCTTAAGGGGGCAGCCCCACTCAGCTCCAGTGACCAAGGCAGCTGGGTGGGCACATGCCACCAGTGCTGCCTGATCTCAGGGAGATGCCGGCCAACCTGCTGCCCCCCGAACTATCTCAACTGTCAATATACTGCCCGGGCCCAACAAAGGACTTCTGTGAAATGCCCCAGTTTTTAAGACAATGCATGGGCTCAACAAAATAAGTCCTAGGCCACCATTTACGGTATGTGTACACCCTGTACCCAGAGGAGGTCATGAGGGGCCCCATGACTTCTTTGCCATGTTTAGTCAAAGGTATACCCAAACCCATTTAGGTTAACAGATTATTTCTCAATCCTTTGATGAGCAGGAAAAAAAAAAAAAGAGAGAATCTTCCAAAAGGACTCTTTGAATTCAAATACCCCCAGGAAGCAAAGAGGAGAGTCATACTTTTTAGTAAAGGCCCTAAGGTCATTTGAGGACAAGATGTTTCTTGCCCCATCTACTGCAGGGTGTTTGGCAACCTGACTCTCATCCACAAAATACAAGGAGTGTCCTTCTAGGCTGTGAGGTGTCCCCGCCGCCACCACCACCACCGCTCGCAAGAAAAAGCACCTACATGTTTTCAAACCTTTCCTAAGGGGTGACACCATGACCAAAAGGCTTTAAATATTAATTATAAATCTTAGAATACTTTTTCCCCTAAAAATAAAGTGTGTTTAAAAGTGGTTCTTAAAACTCTCCTAAAAGTATTAAATTCCCAAGACATGAAAAATGGGTGAGGGGCCGGCCCCGTGGCCAAGTGGTTAAGTTCGAGTGCTCCGCTTTGGCCGCCCAGGGATTTGCCAGTTGGGCTCCTGGGCGCAGACATGGCACTGCTCATCAGGCCATGCCGAGGCGGCGCCCCACATGCCACAGCTAAAAATATACAACTATGTACCGGGGGGCTTTGGGGAGAAAAAGAAAAAATAAAATCTTTAAAAAAAAAATGTTGGTGACTATATTATGATGGTAAAACCCAGCATGTGCAGACCTACAATTTGCTTTTAATTCCATAATTTTTTAATTCTTTAATTCTAAAAGAAAAAAAGAAGAAAAAGGAAGTGTCCAGAAGAATTTTGAGGGGATTTCGTTCCCCTTAGGAAGGCAGACGGGGAGGAGGGAGTTGCCCCTACTCCGTAAACATTACACGCTAGAATGAACCATGGAGTCAAGGGTCAGAATACTCTTTTTTTTTTTTTTACAGTTAAGGCTATTTCTCCTTTGCCAACTCGTGGCTGTTCAGCCCCACGGAGTTTTCGATCTGAAAAAAAAACCGACAATCCACCTTACAGTGTTCCTCGTCCAAACCACTATTTTACAAGATAACTGAAGCTCAGAGATGAGACAGCAACTGACAAAGTCACAGAGCAAGTTCCCCAGATGCGGTGGGGCTGGCAAGAGCCAGGCCTCAGGTCTGGAACACGTTTCCTCCAGTGCCACAGTCCTGTAAACTCTTCTATCAACACTGAAGATGACTGTTCAGGAGCATAAACACGCCCTGTGCCGGGTCACCACGCTCTGCCATGTTCCACGCCCAGAGTGCGGTCTACATTCAGGAGCTCCCACCACGTGTCAAACTCTGGGGCGACAGCAGCCGTCAGACACTGGCCACTGTCTGAGGCTCCCAGTCCAGAGGGGGACACAGATTTACAAACACATCACTGTGGTCATGAGGCTTAAGTGTTACGGAAACGGTATTATCACACAGATGGGGAAGGGAGAGAAAACACCTGGACTGCCCACGTTGATCAGCTTCCAGAAAGAGAGGTGAGCCAACTCTTAAAGGACAGGCAGGAACTCACACAGCATGTGTGCACACATGCACACACAGAGGGGAGGTAAATAAAAGACTTTCTACACACAGGGGGCAATATCTGCTTCACGCTTACTGGTTGTTACCAATAAGTAAGCAAGACGAGGGTCTGCCCAGGAAGGTGAATTAACTGGCTGAGTGAAGGTTTGTGGATTATTTGTGGCCTGAAAGTTTCTTTCTTAGTCTTCAATCCCAACAGCTACTGGACGGCTCCTGGGTGACAGGGGTGGGTTGTCACTGGCATCAAGCCAGACAGGCAGACCTAAGCTCAAATGCAGCTTCTCACTCGCTCTGAAGCCTTGAGGAGGCAACTTAACCTCTCTGAACCTCTGGTTTTTTCACTTGTAAAACGGAGACAATTATAAGGGTTATTATAAACATTAAGATTAACACAGAAAAATGCTCACAACAGAACGTGGCACACTGTAAGCACTGCTTTTAGTACTGTTTTCAACGACAGTATGTTTAAATTGCAATGCCCCCAGAAATTTATTTAGGACCCATCAGTTTTTTCTCCTATAATGGGATTCCCAACCCATTAGACCTGCACAGTCCAACACGGGAGCTACAGGCAGCCACAGGCAGCTGCTTACATTTAAGTTAAATTAAATGAAAAATTCAGCTCCTCAGTCACATTTGCCACTTGCAAGCCCTCAATGGCCACACGTGGCCTGTGGCTATCCTACTGAACAGCTCAGGCCTAGAACAATTCTAAAACTGGTGTTTAATTATTTCACATATAGTTTGTGTGATTATTACACTCAGCGTAGAGCCTGGCTTAATTTTTACTATTATTAGTATTTATGTCATTCAGCTCAATTCATCTTCACAACAACCCTGTGAAATCAGTGGCAGTATCATTATTCCCATTTCAAGAGATGAGAAAACTAGGCACAGAGCGGTTAACTTGCCCACAGCCACACAGCAAAAGCAGAGCTGGCATTTCGCTATGTAATTTTGAGGATGAAAATAGATTAGAGCACAGAAGCGTGCCCTCTCACAGTCCTGGGCATTTAACTGTTGCTAGGTTTCTTCCCGTGAAAGCTGCAATCTTGTTTTATTCAACCTGAATCCCCAGGGCCCACTCCAGCTCTCCGTAACGCACAAAATGGATGCACACGTCCCAAGCAGGCCCTGCTGCAGTGGCATCGAACCACTGGGGCCTCCCGTCTCCTCCAGCACTGGGAGACTGGACCTCATGGCCCACTAAAGCATCTCTCTCTCTTTTTTTTTTTAATCAGAAGCACATTTAGCCTGCATCAGAGGATTTTAAAGCCAAAAGGTTCCTTAGACAAGAGCCAAGAGGACAAACAGATTTTCACATCTAGTTGAGGGGTCCTCGCCGCCCAGGGAGGGTGGGGTCTGCCGCCCATGTCGAGGGCAATGAGAAGGCAAGGTGACCAGTCACCAAAAGCGACCGGGGGCAATGGGCAGGCAGAGCGGCTGCCTCTCCACGGACCTAAACCTCTGATTTTACAGATGAGAAAACTGAGACCGGAAGGGAGCACGTCTCAGCCACGCAGCCACCTCCAGGCCAAGCTCGGAAGCATCCTGCTGGCCATGGCCTAGGAGGGAAAATCCTCGGGCCATGTAGGGCAACAGTCCTAAGGCATGAAGAAAAAATCCCAGGAAAAGCCCCAAACCCTAATGCACAGTATCTTCATCCCATCTGGGTCACTGCCCTGTCCCCCAAACGGATCTGAAAACCCCCTGGAAGTGTCTACACAGGTCCCCTTTGAGCTGCCCTTTTTGTCCTATGCAAATGACAGCTGGAGAAAGGCAGCTTGCTAAATGCCAGGAACTCGAGCTACTAGGAAACCCCGGGGGGAGCCAGAAGGCTTCCCTACAGCCTTTGTCGTGCTGGCGTGGACGCCATCCCCAGCGGCCGTTTACCTGCTCCTTATTGCTATTGTTCAGTAATCCGGGTTTCTTTTTCTTTTTAATGGGGCTTGTTGACGTGTCCTGTGGCGAGTGGCCATTGGAAGAATGTGGAGGGCTGGGGAACTTTCTTTTCTGGGCTGTTCTCTCTGTGGAGCCAGGATCTGAAAGAGATATACAGGACCACATATTTTAAAGCAGGCAGGCAGGCCGAGACCCTGCAGGGAGGGTGTGTGCGGGACACAACACATTTTGTTCCCAAACCCAATAGCATTTTAGCATTCCTCCCCGGGAACACACTTACCCACTCTTTTCACTGCCTGTCTCAGAAGCCACACAGTCTTTCTTTGGCCTACATAACATTTTATATTTTAAAATATAAAAATAAGGGCCCGGCCCCGTGGCCCAGTGGTTAAGTTTGCGCACTCCACTTTGGCAGCCCAGGGTTTCACTGGTTTGGATTCTGGGTGCGGACATGGCACCGCTCATCAGGCCACGCTGAGGTGGTGTCCCATATGCCACAACTGGAAGGACCCACAACTAAAAAATACACAACTATGTACCAGGAGGCTTTGGGGAGAAAATGGAAAAATAAAATCTTTAAAAAAAATAAAATAAAATAAAATATAAAAATCAAGAGACTTCACATAATCCCCTAGATTTTTGGCTTCTCATAAAAAAATACATCATGGCCTGCAGAGCCTTATGGCACCAGACAGATCTGAATACCAGGTGCTCAGATTGAGATGGGAACGTGCCCTCCATTTTGCCACAATCCCCACTCTTCCCTACTGTGTCCCAGTTGACAAGGCCATGATCCAACTGCCATGAGTGTTCACACAGGCACTGGTACTGTCCTTATCCCAAAGAAGTATTTCTTCTCCACACCCGTGCCTGACGGCAAAAGCAAGAAACCACGAAAGATAGACCAAGGCCACACGCTTCAAGAAAACAAAAGCAAACACACTTCTTTGTGGAACACAGTAATATTTATTCGCGTTTGTCAGGCTAACAAAGCGTAACCATGTAAGAAGAATGTACCCACCCACCAGAAAGTGCTCGTGGCCCCGTCACCGGTACTCATCGTACTTGCAACTCTCCTTCAAAGAATTCCACGCAAATTACATTCTCACTGATTCTCATTTGTACGCCTACCCCACTCTTGCCCATCCACTCCTTTCTATTTTAATTCTCTCAGCATCTCATTTAAACACATATCTACTTCCCCCACCATCCAATCTTCAACTGCCAGGACTTGATTCCATTCCATGCTCGACGGCTGTCTGGTTAGCTTAGGGATGTCATGGCTCGGCCTGGCGCACTTACATCCGGAGAAACAAAAGCTACAAGCACCAGAAGAGGGGCAAGCACAGGTGATGGGATGGGGTGAGGAATCCAGAAAGGTGACTATCTCCCAGATAGCCTGACGACGTTCCTCCTCCAGGGTTAACTCTCAGGCAGGTCCCAGCACGCGGGCTGCACCGTGTGTCACCATCCGTGTGCGTCCGGACAAGAGCCGCCAGGGCAGATTAACAGGGTCCAATAGGGCCGCACGCAAGGCCTCCCAGTGGTGGACTGTTGACCGAAAGGCGGGGCATCTTCCAGCACGCTCACAAAGGAGGACAATGAGCTGCTTTTGCAAAATCCACTCCACACCATGGAACTCTCCAGTCTCCCTGGGCAGGAAAATCCTGAGACACGGCCCTGAGAGGCAATTAAATGCTAACCACAGGCACCTTGAGGGAGAACAGACCCCAGAGTTCGGGGGAACATCCCACAGCCATCAAAACGGAGGCCCAGAGAGCCCAAAGGGTTGGCCCAGAGGCACACGACAGCTGGTTAGTGGGCAAAGCCACTAGAGAAAGCCGCGGCGTGGGACTGACATGTACCCCGGAGAGCGCCTCCTCTCATTCCCACAGGGATGCTCCACGCGGCCATCACACGCGAAAACCCTGGCTTTCTCCACACGGTCTCTAACCCCGAAACCTCCTCCTAGAAACACATTCTAAATACACAGTCACGGGGGAGCAAAGCACATGCCAGAGGACTCATCTGCTCCCTGCATGCTGTACCTAAGACTGGAAACGACTTCAATGCCCACAGAGAGAGGACGGGTCTGACAACACACGACAGCCATCCTGTGGAATATTCTGCAGTCACTAAGAACGAGGAGACACCTCCACACGAAGTGACGCTCCCCAAGCTTCCGTATCAGGTTAAAAAAGAAACACACGGCTAGCACCACGAACAGACCACCATACTCCCCCAAAAAAGGATGTTTTTTATATATATCCATGTTCACATAAGCCTAACATATTCCTGGATGAGCACAAAAATACAGCAGAGCTCAAAAGGGGGACTGGTGGCTGCCTCTGGGAAGGGAACCTGGGGGCATTAGTTTTCACTGTGTATCCTTGTGTACATTCACATGTCTGTACTACTTTATTGAAATAAAGAAATTTGTTTTTCATTTTTGAGGAAGATTAGCCCTGAGTTAACTGCTGGCAATCTTCCTCTTTTTGCTCAGGAAGACTGGCCCTGAGCTCACATCCGTGGCCATCTTCCTCTACTTTATATGTGGGACGCCTACCACAGCATGGCTTGCCAAGCAATGCCATGTCCACACCCAGGATCCGAACCGGCGAATCCCGGGCCACCGAAGCGGAATGTGGGAACTTAACCACTGCGCCACTAGGCCAGGCCCAAAGAAAATTTTAAAACGAGATATTTAAGAGGTTCCGTTTCACATAGAAAAGCAGCAGGTGCAAACGAAAGCCAGTAATGAGCAAATGAGGGATAAAAAATGTCACCAGACAAACAAGCTGGGGCTGATCACCGTGGGCTTGTGAGCGCAGCAGGGAGTTTGGGGTTTGGTGCATGTGGATCTGCTAAACCCAAGCAACTCTGCTCAAAGAATCAGAGGACAGGTGTTTAAGAACAGGGTTTTGGGGGCTGCAGGGGGCTGCTGCGTCCTGGAAGAAATGGCGTCCTGGTCAGGCAAAAATTCAAAGCAATTGGGCAAAGGTTTTGATTTTGTATGTTTTGCTCAGTCTGTGGGTAGATTTTGGAAGAACAAAGGAGATGTGCAAAGACACGCCAAGGGAAAGTTGGGGGCACGTTCGGGAGAAAACAAGTAGCGCGTTTTAATGCTTCTCAGGGGAAAGCTACGGATTTCTGCAAAGGACAGCTCCTCCTCAACACAAGGACAACCTCGGCACCCTCCCACCCAACGCCATCAGTACTCTCAAACAGTCACAACAAAAAGCGCCCCCACGTATTTCCCAAACGCTCCCAGAGGAGTGGTACCAGCCTCCGAAGAACCACTGAGCTGGAACATGGCGCACGGGGGATGAAGGGCACAGCCAGCCCACACCCAGTCACCCACGGGCCAGAAAGGGCACCAGCCCCTCCTTGGGCCGTCTAAGCTATCCGCCCGTGGCTGAGATCCGCCAGGACAGTGGCTCCCAAAGTGTGGTCCCCGCTACGAGCAGCAACAGCATCACCCAGGAATTTGCTAGAAATGCACATCCTCAGGCTCCACGTCGGAGCTACAGAATCAGAAGCTCCAGAGCAGGGCCCGGTGACCTATGGTTTGACAAGTGCTCCAGGGGACTCAGACGCACACTGGTTTGAGGTGCTACAGGGTGCATGTGTGGGGGTCGGGGGTGGGGGGGGCGTGGAATCGAGTTCTCAAGCCTGGAGAATCCTGCTCCACCCTGGGGAGCCAGTCTCCTCTGCTTCCTCACGGCCACCTGGGGGGCAGGCTCAAGACTGAGGACACAGAAGCCAAGCATGGAGGCAACGTGAGAGAATGAAGACAGCCAAAGAGGAGAGGACCCCAAGGAGGTCTCCTACTGCTCAGAGCCTCAAGGCCACATGTGTGACATGGGAAGCGAGGCAGAGAAAGGAACCAGACCCCAAGTTCTTACCTGGAGTCCAGGAAAGCGCTTCAGGGACGCACGATCCACAGGGCGCGGTTTCCGTGCGTGGATACAATCTCCTGGGAAGACGGGGCATAGCCCACCTCACCCTCTCCTCGGTGTCAACAACTCTAAAAATCAACACCCACAGGGCCAGAGGATCTTAAGAAATCCCTTTTAACTTTAAAATTCTTTAATTCATGGGACAGAGGGGGAAAAGTCACTAGAAATGAATACACTCATAAGCAACTGAGACAGCTGGGGAGGGCGTTCTGCCCAAACCCAGCAGGAAAGAGGAGGGAAGCAGGGTCCTGCTCGGCGAGAGGAGGGGTCCAGCCCAAGGCTGCCCCAAACCGAGAGGATTCCAACCCTTCTAGTCTCAGTGAAACATAAACCCCAATTCTGTTCCCGGTTACAAACACACCGACTCCCCCTCCAGAGTCGGGGAGAGTTCAGCAGCCGGACACAAGGAGTAGAAATTTAATAGGTTCCGAACAAGAGACACAGCTGTCAAGAGCAGAGGCTTCCAATGAAGGCTCCTAGGGAGAAGAATTGGGAAATGCTGGCTGGATCCAGCCTACTTCGGAGGGACGAGATAGCGGGCCAGCATGCTGACTTAAAAACCTACCCACCCCAGTGGGGGCTAGGCCACTGGTGGTGATAGAACGGTGGGTGTGGAGCTTGCTGTAGCCATGGTAACAAAGCCGCCTTGAGGATCTTTTCCAGAAAGCTGAGTCAAAGATTTTTTTTCTTCTTCTTTAACGACTTAATTCTGACGAGGACGTATTGCTAAATGCATTTCATCTATAAACTTGGAATCATGACAAACAGCCACCCTAGACAATCACCCAAAAAACGGTTCACCCGTGATCTGAAAAGACCTCCGTGTGAGGCAGCAGGACCCGCAGTTCTCCTGGGTTGGCCCACCAGTGATCCTTAGCCTCCCACCCCTACCCCTCAAAATAAGTCTGGTTCTGAAGGAGTTAACGTGGGCGAGGGAGGGGCTGCCTAGAGGAAAGGGACAGAGCAATGACTCAGGAAAACAGCTTGGCATGGAGCAGGAAGTGGCAGCATTCTCCCCTCCTTGTGACATTTCACTGAAATCTGAATATGGGAAAGTCTGCTGGGTACTAGGAAGCAAGCACGTGACGACATCCTTGCTCGGTCTTGTGAACCACCGGAAATCATCCCGTTCAGCCCTTCCTAGATGTCCCTTGACTTAAGGGACACCTTACTTCAAGATA